TGGGTGGGAACAGGATGTAGTGGCTACCTCACATGGTAAAGACTGCGGCTATATGTAAGCTACCTAACATAACTGGTCATGGTTAACTACTCCCTCATGTCTTTGGTCTGGCTGTTATTTATGCCCAGAGTCTGGTAAAGCAGTTCAGAGGCCACTTAAGAGAAATCTATTCCAATCACGCACAACTGCTGCATGCACTCCCTCCAGCCAGTGTTCCCTCTGAGCCCCTGGGTAGCGGGGCAGAATTGCTTTACTAGCTTCCAAGGAAAACAGTTAACTGTGGCCACTAGTACTTTCTTTTGAATCACTGAAAGAGCTTTCAGCATTTGCAGAACAAAATAAGAACAAAGAGAGCAGCTTTCCAAAGTGTAAAAATCATAGCGCTTTTCCCAGGGAAGTCGAGAATAATTTTATCTCTGAAATCAAGTTTCTCTAAACAAGCACAGAGCTCAAGTGCAGAAGGTAAATTGGTAAGTCATAAGTGATACCCAGCATCCAGTCCTATTTGGGGATTATGTGTCTGTAAAATCCATCTATAACTTCTGTTATCTATGTATGTTGTAGCCCAGGAAAGGTAGAGGCATGAGAAACAGCTGAACACCTGACGGCAAAGACCTGTGTAACCATCCTTTGACTTTCTCTGAGCAAGTTGGTAAACATCCATGTGGATGCAAAACATTTCAGCTAAACTCTTGACAGCTTTATTCTTCCACTTTTCCTGAGTAGTCTCCTTTCCACTATTGTATTTCAACATTTTTCACTTTTTTCTTTGAAACCACCCTTGCATTCGTAATTTTATCAGAGTAGAAACATTTGTTCGGTATCTTTGCAGTGTGTGTTTGTTTTTTTTGAGACAGTCTCAGGCTAATCTGGAACTATGTATCAAAGGCTGCTGCAAACTCTCAGTGATCTTCCTAGCTCAGCTTGGAGCTAGGAAGCATAAGACTGCTTGTTTGGGATTTCCCTCCCTCCCTCAAATCAAGGTCTTGCAGTTGCCCAGGCTGGCTGCAAACTCTGTCCACCTGCATCAGCCTCCTAAGCAGCTCATGCCATACCAGCTGTGCTACAAACCTCTTGAACCAGCATCTCCAATGTGGCCCTAAGGCAGGAGATCCAAGTCAGGAGCACAAGCTCTAGGTCTGGAGTATAAGCTCCACCAAATCCCATCTGTGATGTTTAGCCACCCTTTGTTTACCCAGAACAGTGCCAATTTACACCCACTGCTTATGCCTAAGAAGGAACATCCCTTCTATCTTTGTGGTGTCCCAATTGGAGCTTAAGGGGCTTGCTATCCTACCTACCTCCATGTGGAAAACAACACAGGGTTAGAAAGTATTTTAAGTTTTTTTTTGGTTCTGTTTTCAAACTGCTTCTGTCACTTCTGAGTTTTAAAACTTAACTTCTAAAGTAGTCCAATTATGAAACTCAGTATCTTTCAAACGATACCTCCCTCTGGTTGACAAACACTAATTCTCCAATCAGCTCAGATTCAACCTAACCACTTGTAAAGGTCAATAGTGAGGACCTCAAGGACTTGGTAATTTTTAAAAATTTATTTTGGGGAGGGGGACATGCGTGTGATAGCACACATGTGGCAATCAGAGAACTAACAGAAGGCAGTTCTCTCCTTCCACCATGTGGGTCCCACAGATTGAACTCAGTTGGTCAAGCTTAGCAGCAAGCACCTCTACCCGCTGAGCGACCTTGCTGGCCCTAGCAGTTTTCAGATCTTTCATGGTCCCCTTACTCTTCAGTTTGGATGCGGTACACCAGCCATGCCAGGCTCTGGACACTCCACACCACCAGTAAGGTTGGCTGACATAAAATACAAACAACACATTCTCACCTGAGCCTACACCTCCTACCTTAGAACCAACATGGGCCAAGGGAAATGCCTAACAGAGATATGGAATTCCCATTCAAGACAGAACTTGAAGTCCTGAATCAGAAGGAATGTTAACAGTACAAGGCAGGGAAGAACAGGAACGGGTGAGAACCCAACAGCCAGCCCCACTACATGCTCTCACACCTTAGGCAAGTAAGAAAACAGATTTTGGAGTAAATACATTTATTGATACCCATTTTATATATAGTTCAATGAAATAATCTATAAATATAAAAGCATTTTTCTTTTGGATATCACCATGGTCCATGTAAATACTCAACAGTCAGAGTCATCTGCAGGAAACACTCCAAGTCACACTGTTAGGTTTACAGACCTGAATATATACGTCATTAAACAGTGGCACTTATGTACTCAAGTGGTCCAGTGGCTTTGGAATATATGACTACTGGGCATGTGGAGTAAAAATAATGTGTAAGTTTAAATCATCGGATAGGGTATCAACCATGAAGAAAATAAACAATTATGAATTCATATCCTAGGCAAAGGAAAGTACCAGAGTTGACACTTGGTGTCAGAATCCCGGAGACACATACTATGGCACACCCTGCTTCCTCTAACCCCCAGTGGACAGTCCGCCAGTGCCTTAGGGTCATTTGTGATCAAAAACAATTCTTAAAGAAACAAGACAGCTTAGAATAGAAGTATTCAAGAGTAAAGAAAAGTTAACTAAATATTTCAGTGACATAATGAGTTTCTCCCCCTGAAGGGGACTGTGAGGAAAAACATTTTGTCTTAAATTCCCTTTGTTACATTGTGCATGATCGTTATCAAGAAAAAGGACTCAAATGTCTGCTACCCAAAACACAGGTGCAGACATTTTCTTCGGTTTCAAAGTTTTTTCCTCAACACATCCACAGGAACTGATGCAGCCCCTGCTGAGCCTTGCTCTCCCCCATGCAGCACAAAACTTCCTCTTTTCTTCATGACAAATACAGGAAGGTCTTTTGCTGCAGGCAGACGCGTATCCTCGGAGTTAGCAAGTGAATGCATTTCAAAGGTCTTAGAGGTACATTGTCCAGAACAGATCTGAGGCAGTGTTAGAACGTAAGCAAAGCAAGGTTTTAGACACTACTCAAAAGAAAGCCTAAGAGAAACATATAAAATTCAGTTTTTTCCTATTATTTTAGGCAGAAAATGACAGCAACATTCACTGGCAAGGATAGATAACCGGTGTTATCTCCAGATCCAAAATATTCCAACTATTTAAAGTAGGGCCCAAATGAGGGGGACACACTGAGTTCTGAGGTCTCTAGAATTCTTTTGCGCCGTATTTTTTAAAAGAAATAGTAGCTCAGTTGCACCCGCCAGCTGAAGGGCTTTCATCCAAATGAGAAACTCCACCCTCGTCTCCAGTGGCACAGGCATCAGACTCCCACAGGCAGCAGCTCCCATGTCCTGTAGCACGTGGCATCTGACCCTGGAGTGAGGAGTAAGCTGGCACTGAGCCTCGACCACTGAGATTCAGACTAGATGGCATTCCGTGGTGTGCCATTGTGTGCCAACGCTTTCAGGCTTGGAACACTGGTCTGATGACTGCAGCTCCTGTGAGAGGTCACACCCACCTCAAAAACCTCATGGATAGCTTTTCGGAAACAGTGGAAGTTGTAGTCTATCAAGCCTGCAAGAGCGAAAAGGATCTACTTAATGTCAACTGTGAAATGAACCACCAGAAGGAAGACACTGTCTGAGATGCTCGATATTGTGATCTTAGGTGGACAGGGCAGACAGTTAATCTAACAAAAGCAATCAAGAAGGTAAATGTGCTAAGTAAATTTCCAATGAAATCTAAAGTCAAAGTAAAATACTCCGAATATCAACTATCATTGATACAGCTAGTAAAGGGCTTCAGGAATCTGGTCCTTCAGGAAGGAAAAGAAAAAAAGCCAGGTATGGTTGTACAGCCTGCAATCCCAGCACTTAGGAGGTTGAGGCAGGAGAATCTAGAGTTCTAGGCCAGCCTGGGCTACATAAGACAACCCTGGCACATGTGTAGAAGTCTGAAGACAACTTTAGGAGTCAGCTCTTGCCTTCCAGTGTCTCTGTGATGTTTCTGTGCTGGGAGCTCCAGGCAGGCTGGTTAGCATCTAGGCTATTCTCCTGGCTCCACCTCTGAGTAATGCTGGGATTACAGATGTGTGTACCCACATCTATCTCTTAGGTGGGTTCCGTGTAGTCAGGCTTGAATAGCTAGCACTCACTTTACTCACTGAGCCATCTACCCGGCCCAAATATTGCTTTACTCTTAACAAAAATGTTAACTTCGAAATTCCTACTGAAAGAGAGACGAAATGACTTAATGTCATTCTGCTTCAAAATAATCCAAAAGGGAACTACATAGACATATGAAATAGGACTGGCTATGAGGAGGCAGAGACAGGAAGATGAGGATTCAAGGCAAGCCTGGGCTACATAACAAGTTTGAGGTCAGCTTGAATATCCTGTCTCAAGAAAACAAAGCAAAACAAAAAAGACTGGCTATGGTTTTGATAACTGTTGGATCTGGGTAATAGATTTGAAGAAGTTTTAGAGCTGGGGAGAGGTTCAGTTGGTAAAGTAATTGCTGTGCAAGCATGAAGACCTGTCTTCAAATCCCGAGGACTCACATAAAAGCCAGGCATCTGTAGCCCTAGCACTAGGAGAGGCAGAGACTGATAGACTCACTGGCCAGCAGGTCTAAAAAAATAAAGGGGAGAATGAGAGAGAAATATACTTGATGCCTATCTCTGGCCTCTATACACAGCACACCCGTAACTCATGTGGAAATGCAGGTGGTTGTGAGTCATGGGTGCTGGGAACTGAAATCAGGTCATCTGCACGTGCAGTACATACCCTTAACTGCTGAGCCATCTTGCCAGCCTCCATATGAGCTTCATTTTAAGCTCAAAAGCAAATACACACATTTGTGTTTTTTATGAAAAAAATTGTATCTGAAATATTTCTTTCTCTATGAACCAATCAATCTACAAGGACATCTTATGCAGTAACACCAGACAATTATCTGACTACAAGACATCAAAGCTTAGACACAAGAAAAATAGCTTATGATAGAAGCAGGGTAGAAAAGAGCTGGAGGGGTAAAGGAGCGTCAGGAAACAATCATTAATGAATGGCAGGCACAATGGCCAGGACACCAGCCAAATATTGATGTGAAGAAATCTTGCTAACAGATCAAACATGGGACTAGAACACAAGCTCAAGAAAGGGCTTTTAGGCAAAAAGAGATTAGCCCCAGTCATGAACCAGGACTGGCAAGATGGCTCAGTGGGTGGAAGCACTTGCCACACAAGCCTGATGACTTAATTTGATCCTGGAGCCCATGGTAACTCCCAAGCCATGAACTGGAGGTGCTGGCCTGAAGATTAAGAAGCAGGCACTAAGATATGACTCTAAAGAACTTGGGAAAAAGTAAACTAGCCAGAGAGAGAGAGAGACAGAGAAGTATACAAAATAACCCAGAGAAGAAAGCTTTCAACAAGAAAGGGCTGACATGGTCACATGTTCCAGAAGATTGAGGCAGCTGCAGAATTAAGGAAAGTGCTGCTCAGCAGTTAAGAGCAAGGCTGCTCTTGCAGAGGATTCAGGTTCAGTTCCCAGTACCCCTATCAGGGAGCTCACAACTGTCTAATTCCAGGGCATTCAATACCCTCTTCTCGCATCTGTGGGCATTGTATGTACAAGTGTTTTGCCTGCATAAAATAAAAATAAATTGAAAAAAAAATTTTTAAAGACTGCTGGATGTGGCAAGAAGGTACACCCAGATTGTATTCAGATAGAAAACAAACTATAGACAGGAAAGAGTCAACAGAAGGGAAGGAAGAGCGGCTGGGGAAAAAGCTTGACAGTGTGAAAAGTTCAAGGAGGAGGAAATCTAGATAACATGTAGATAGAAGATAGAAAGGGCAAAAGCCTGAGTGGACTTTTATGGTAACCATTAAGACTGTCTACACTACAGAAGTATTATTTGCTCTTATTTTCAAGAACCTGAGACATCATGATCAATGCAGAAACAGCTCCTCCCCATACCCATGAGTATAGGCAGCACAAACTGGACTTGGTAGGGTTTTTTTTGTTTTTTTTGTTTTTTTGTTTTTTTAAAGAGGAAAGATGGGGGTGGATCTGGAAGGAGTTAGGAAGGGGAGGGAAGGATGAATATCATCAAAATACATTGCATGAAATTCTCAAAGAACAAAAATATATTTTTAAAAAATTTTACAAGCTGGAGAGATGGCTCAGTGGTTAAGAAAGAACACCGGCTGCTCTCGCAGAGGTCCCAGGTTTGGTTCCCAGCACCCACATGGTGACTAACAACTATCCTAATTCCAGTTCCAGAGGATCTGACACCCTCTTCTGACCTCCACAGGCATGGCACTGACACGGATGCACTTATGCACATGCAAGCAATACACTCATACACATAAAATAAAAATTGAAATTCAAAAAAACTTAAAAAATTTTTTTCATGTTTTATTTATTTTTTATTTTACGTGTGTGCATTTATTGCCTGCATGTAGGTAAGTGCACCCCTGTCATGGAATGCCTGCGGAGGACAGAAGAGGCTGTCGGATCCCCTGGAACTGGAGTTACGGACAGCTGTTAGCTGCCATGTGGGTGCTGGGATTCAAACCCAGGTCTTCTGCAAGAACAACCAGTGTTCTTAACCACTGAGCCATCTCTCCACCCCTCAAAAAAATTTTAAAGCCATTCTTTTGCACACACATGCTCATGAGTGCCCACACACAAGCAAACAGACACATACCACCAAAACAAATTAAAAACACAAACAGCTCTTTTTCTAGGCACAGTGGCTCACACCTATAATCCTAGCACTCAGGAGGCTGAGGTAGAAGTATCTCCGTGAGTTCCAGGCCAGGCTGGGCTACAGAGTTAGATCTGTCTCAAAAAACAGAAAAAAAGATAACAAAATTGAAGCAATAAATGAACATAAGCAGATTTTTTTTACAAATTCCATTACCTTTTCGTTCAAAGCTCTCTTCCCTAAGAATGCAAACCAGAGCCAAAAATTTAGTGACTTCCTTTAAATAAAGGACTGTTGTGTTATTCAGCTTAATGATGGCCATCGACTCTTTGTCATAAGCACTTCCACTTCCATCTTCCTTTAACCTATTTTAAAAGAAAGTACCATTTACTACAAGTTTCCCAACTAGGTACTTTGCACAAGAAGAAACTTTTCCACCCAGGTTCCCAATGTCTTTTGAGAAAAAAATAATTCTGGCTTAAATCTACTGGAACACAGTTGTCATTTAGGTATGAGGTGAACAGCAAAGCTCTGCACATACATCCACTATTACAATAATCAAGCATTTGGAAAAAAAGGTGAAAATACATGTGTATCTTGAGGGCATGGTGGCACATACCTTAGTCCAGCACTCAGGAGGCAGAAGCAGGCGGATTTCTGTGAGTTCAAAGCCAGCCTGGTCTACATAGCAAGTTCCAGGCCAACTGGAGCTACAGGGAGACCCTGTCTCAAACAGATGAAAAGAAAATACATGTGGATCTTAAACAGTGGCATGTCCAATGTCATGCCAGGCAGGGCTACTTATCCAGACTGTGACTTGGCAGGCTTGGCTGAGGGGCCTTCTTTCTCTACTTCCCTCAAACCACCTAACCACCTGGATCTGCCATCACTACCTCAAAGACAAACTGACTTTACGTGCCAAGCCTTTTCTGAAAAATCTATTTCCTTACAAAAATCAAGAAAATTCATAGACTATACAAGAACAGTCCCAGCTAAAGATGGGTAGGAATTATGTTAAAATCAGTAACTTTTTTAAAAAATATTTTTTTATTATTTTTATTTTATGTGTATGCATGTATTGCCTGCATGTAGGTAAGTGCACCCGTGTCGTGCAATGCCCACCCAGGACAGAAGAGGTGGTCTGATCCCCTGGAACTAGTTACAGTTGTTAGCTGCCATGTGGGTGCTGGGATTCGAACTTGGGTCTTCTGTAAGAACAGCCAGTGTTCTTAACCACTGAGCCATCTCTCCAGCCCCATAAATTCAGTAACTTTTAAACAGATGGATTTTTGAGGGCTGGTACCATGGCTCAGTAAACGTGCTTGCTGCCAAGTCTTGATGACCTGAATTCAATCTCTGGGGTTTCACAGAGTACAAAGAGAACTAACTCCTCCAAGTCCTGTTCTGTGACTTCCACATATACACCATGGCATGCATGTGTCTGCATACATAGAAATACACATAATAAATCAAATATAATTTTCAAAAAAGATAGATTTTGAGAGATTTTTCTGATGTACTTAGCAAAAGTCTAAAGTTTGTCTAGTTATTACTAGGAATTAACAGTTGCCAAAACTTCCTCTTTAAAAGGAGTGCTTGGGGCTGGAAAGACAGGGTCAAGAGCCCTCACTGCTCTTGTAGAGGACCCAGGTTCAGTCCCCAGCACTCATGTGACAGTTCACAACTATCCCAGGGGGGGATCCAATGCCCTCTTCTGGCCTCTACGGCTCCTGTACACATGTGGTGCACACATACACACATTAAAATAAATAAATCTTAAGTATCTGCCTTCTAAAGGAGGGTAGAAGGTGCCAATATCAAGTCTGAGGGAAAAGGATGGGGAATTCAAGGCAGCCTGGGCTAAAATGAGACTGTTTCAAAAAGTAACAGAAAGCATTAAAGAAACTTAAAAATGGATAGTCGTGGCATTGCCACTGACAGTCCCAGCACTCAGAGGCAGATAGATCTCTGAGACATAGAGGCCAGCTGGTCTACATAGCAAGTTCCAGGCTAGCTAGGGCTACAGGGAAACCCTGCCTCAAAGACCAAACGTAGCTTTTGGGGGGGGGGGGGCTGAAGAGGTGGCTCAACATTTAAAAGCACTTGCTTCTCTTCCAGAGGACCCAAGTTCGTTTTTAAGCTGTCTCTATGTTCAGCTCTAGGGACTCCAATACCCCTTTTTGGCCTCTGCATGCACCCGCCCCCCACACTTGGCATACACATAAATAAAAAATAAACTTTTTTAAAAAAGAAAAAAAACAGAACGATGAAGGAAACATTGAAAACCTACCAACAGGTGTCTGTGAGGGAAGCACTTTTCCCCCATTTTCACTTGTCTCTATGGTCTGTGTATTTTTCCATGAAGGACGGGTCATTTCTAAACTATTCCAAATCTTACAGCTTACCTTCCCATACATTAATTTGATCCCCACACAACCCAGAAGAGAGAAACTGGTACTAAAGCCTATTTAAATCACTTTATCTTCTTTCTGGAACCAAACAAAGTTAACTAAATACAAGAAAACTGTGCCCATGTTAAAGCTGTAAAACTCAAGCTCATTAAAAGGAAAAAGATAACCTGAGAAGGTCAAGACTCAAATTTAAGGTTTTTAACTCAATTCCAAGCAGTTTCCATTTCATAGTGGTAGGGAAGTAAGTGTCATATGCTTTAAGAGTATAAAACTACTTCCTTCTGACTGAAGAGGAAGTGTAAATGCTATGTGCTCTCAGCCTGAAGTTAGGAGGCCAAGGAGATCCCTTTCTGTGCTACACAGAAAGTGAGAACAGGCACTGACTCTGAAAACAGGCCACAAAGATGCTCGACTGTAAGTTCCTAAGCTACATACACCCTCAGCCAGCAGCCATAAAGAGCTGCAACGTTTCTACTGTTGAGCCAGTATGATCTTGACTCACATACTAACCTGAGAAATAAAAAGGCACACTGAAGCCAGGCGTAGTGAAGGTTCTTGTCTTGTAAGTCTGATAACCTGCGTTTTCCCTAGAACCACATAAAGATTAAAGGAGGGAAACAACTCCACAGTTGTCCACTGACCTCCACCTGTGTTGGTACACTCCTCCCCTCCAAATACTAATTTAAAAACTTTTTAAAAGGCTTATTCTTGGTTGTGGATACAGCTCTGTAAGCACTTAATTGCTTAGCATGTGTAAAACTGTGGAGAGGTAGGGACAGTGAAATCTACTGAATGTCTAGAGATTGCTCAGGTTTGATTATTAATAAAACTTAAGAATCAAAATATGGTAGTCCCAGTCACTGAGCCCCCTCCAAGGACTCAGCTGCCTGGCCCTCGAGCCCCCTCACTTCCCAACGCTCCATCCCCCAACCCCCCCCCCCCACCGCCTTCTCCTGCAGCTGCCTTCTGCAAGCTGTTTCCACCAAAGAAAAGGAATCATATTCTATGTCTGCTATCCAGAACCTCCACTCTTTTGACCCCTTTGCTACAAGTAAGGGTGATGACCTGCTTCCTGCTGGCACTGAGGATTATATCCATATAAGAATTCAACAGAGAAATGGCAGGAAGACCCTTACTACTGTCCAAGGTATCATTGGTGATTATGATAAAAAGAAACTAGTGAAGGTGTTCAAGAAGAAATTTGCCTGCAATGGTATTGTAACTGAGCATCCAGAATATGGAGAAGTAATTCAGCTACAGGGTGACCAGTGCAAGAACATATGCCAGTTCCTGATAGAGATTGGACTGGCTAAGGACGATCAACTGAAGGTTCATGGGTTTTAAGTGCTTGTGGTTCTCTGAAGCATAAAGGTTTCCTTGCAATGAGGAGAATTTCCCTTCTGTCCCTTCTCACAAGTTTAAAAACCTCACAGCTTATATAATGTAACCATTTGGGGTCTGCCTTTAACTTGGACTAGTGTAACTCCTTCATGCAATAAACTGAAAAGAACCATTAAAAAATAAAAGAATTAAAATATGCTAATGACCATAAAAATCTGGCTCAAAACTTAGGGGTTCTTTTGTTGTTTGTTTATGGTCAAAACTCTCTAGGCAAGACTTTAAGGCACTGGGACTAAGAATGTGCCTGGTGTTCATCTTCAGCACTGCATAAAACTGGGTGTAGTGGTGCACACCTATAATCCTAGCACTCAGGAGGCAGAGTCAGGAAGATTGGAAGTCCAAGGTCACCTTTGGCTACATATATTGAATTTGAGGTTAGACTGGGCTACATAAAGAAAAAAGATGTTAAAGCAAGTATGCTCATCTGAATCTTAGTCAAAATATGCCAAGGCAAAAGCAGGAAGATCACAGCCCAGGGGACCAGGCTCAGAAGCAGTACACACTGAAGGGCTGTAAATGAGAGGGATGGACTGTGGTTAGCCCTGCAAAGGGGTAAGGGGCATGCCAAGTACCAATGGCAGACACGCTCTTTCTGGGACCCAGCAGTATCCCATGCTTTCATTCCCACTTTCAATGCTTACGTGGGATGCATGGAATACAGCCAGCTTCAACTCTTCCCTCATTATTAATCTGTACTGACACAGTCTATAAATGATCTAAAATATGAAAACTGTTTTTTGTTTTTTTTTAAAGTATAACAACTATGTGGTAGGGCCAGAGAGATGGCTCAGCAGGCAAAAGCACTTGCAGCACAAGCATGACACCAGAGGAGCAAGATGGAAAGCAGGGACAGGAGACTGCCAGAAGCCCATGGGCCAGAGAGCCTGGGGGATGCTGTGCAGCAGAAACAAGGGGCCCTGACTCAACAAGGTGGAGGGCAAGAACTCACTGCCCAAAGTTGTCCTCTGACCTTCACATAAGTGACAGGGCTTGTGCACATACACACAATCAATGTTGAAAAAAAATTTTTTTAAGCTGGTCTATAAACTTTAGTTTGTTTTAAAGAAAAAGTAAGTGCTTCTATTTTTAAGAATGGGGAACATGAAACTTCACTGAGTAATGTAATAGACCACATACCTCATTTTTATTATGGAAAGAATAACAAAGGACAGCAAATAATCACACAAGTGAGAATAGAAATAAAAGAGAGATTGAATAGGTAAGTCAAGACGAGGTAAGGTGCTCTATTCAAAAGCGGCCGAAGGAGGACACTGACAGGTGGGGTAATGGGAAGGGTCAGAGGTGAAGGAGAGCAGACACAGGCTAGAGGCACCTTGGGAGCACTGATGTTGATCGATAGAGGAATGAGGGCTATCAGAGGTTACAGAAAATGGTACTGGCCAGTAATTCTCCAGATTTTTCGCTCTTCCTCTGGCCTAGTCTGTGAAATAATTTGTTTTCAGCGTTTTATAAATTTATACATAGTGCTTGGGAATGTTCACATGGGTAGACCCTGTATTTGAAAGGTCAATTTTAGGAAGTCAGATGCAAATATAGGTATTTTATGTCTAAGTCCTCCACACACCTAAAATTCGCATTTTTTTTTTTTTTTTTTTTAAGACTCAAAGACTAAGAATCCCTCCTTCTGTAAAATCCAAGTTTGAATTAGGAGCTACCACCTACTCAGACTACTTCTGGTGTGTTTTGTTTACTATTGTGTTTGGGTTTTGTTTTAAGACAAATGTTCTATAGCCCATGTTGGTCTTGAACTCTTGATCCTCTTGCCTCCACCTACCAAGTACTTGGATTATAGGGATGAGCCACCACACCTAGCTAGTTATAGACCATTTTAAATAAATTATTCTAATTAAATTTTTTTTTTTAATCCAGCTAAGTCCCAGGAGGGATAAGACTCTCCCAGGGTAGACATTCAGTGATTAACAATCCATGGCAGTGACTTTCCAAGTGCATTTTGCCATTCTCTCTGAAGATCAGCTTATGGAGACATCATGCTCTAAGTTGAAGCACAGGGTTAAATCAATCTCACTTCAGGCTGGGGAGATGGCTCAGTAGATAGGGGTACTTGCTGCCAAGCCTGACCTCAGTTGGATTCCCTAGACTCACACATGGTAGAAGAAGAGAAACAACTTCTGCAAGGCTGCCCTCTGGTCTCTATACTCATGTTGTGGCACATGCCCTCATACACATATAGTCATATACACTCTAAGTAAATTTTTGAGTTTTTTTTTAGGGGCTGGAGAGATGGCTCAGCAGTTAAGAGCACTTGCTACTCTTGCAGAGGACTGGCAGTTCCCAGCATGTAAGCATGTAAGCATGGTGGCTTTCAACAGTCTGTTACTCTAGTTCCAGGGATCCAACATGCTCTTCTGGCCTTCAAGGACACTAGGCATGCACATGGCACACACATTCATACATGTAAGGAAACTCATACACTTAAAAGTAATTAAGTCATTTACAGAAGAATTTTTTTAAATTTCATTTCCTACAATATGAGCCAGAGGCAGGAATTGGAACCCTCAACAAATAAAGCTGGCATTTTCCACCTATCTGGGATCTTGCAGAAATACGTAAGAACTTACCCATATATACAAGACACATCAATTACAACATCAATCATGTCACAGCAAAGTTCATAAGACTGCATATCCACAGGGGAACTGTCTGTTGCAATGTAGATTTTGCTGACAACATCAAAGAGAAAAGCTTTTTCAATACCTGAATTCTTGGAAAAACAAAATTGGGCAAAGTGTTCAGTTTCTTTTAAGAATCACAATTTGCAATTTATCAAAGACCTTGAATTATTAAAAAAACACTTTTAATTTATAAAGTAGTTTTTCCCATGATATATGCAAATTTTGCGGTTCTGGAGGTTGAACAAAGGGCTTTACTTAGATAAACATTCTACCAACCAACTCCACACCAATCCTAATCATACAACAGAACACCAAAAATTAATGCTATTTGGTTTGGCAGTGCAGACTGGCCTAAATTGCCAATCCTCCTGACTCTGCCTCCTGCATGATGAGATTACCAAAGTGTACCAATACACCAAGCAAGAATTCCCAATTTATTATTACTTTTTCTTTGTGGTGCTAGAAATTGGTCCCAGGGCCTTTCACATGCAAGGTGAAAGGTACATTACCACTGGGCTATATCCCGAACCCTCAGGAAGATGCTTCTAATTAAGTAGTTCAGGAAATGAAAGACACTTGATGCTATTCTTATTCTACACGTTGAGTGAATCATTGGTCTTTAATTCAAGCACCATTGTAGAAATTAAACATATATTTAACAAAAATAGATTTGGAAACTATAACAAATTGAGTAGCTCACTTACTGATATAAAGATATTTAATAGATTTTCCAAGGTTGGCAGCTGTGGAATGAGTTTCTGCACCACCTTACTGAAGGCTTCAAATATTGAGTGGTCATAGATACTAGTCAAATAAAAGCTGAAAAATATAAAATAGGATTAATTTGTAAAGTAATTTAAGTTCCAGAAACAACTATCATAGAATTTAAAATTTAAAGTTTTCGAGTTCTCTTAACATTTGCTTTCAGTAAGTTCAAATGTAGCTATCTTGTCTCTCCTTTTCCAGTAAGATCATCTTCCACCAGGATGTGGTATTCACTCCCTCTGCTGCATCCACACAGAAGGCAACTGTGAGAGCACCCAGAAAAGGTTTTGCAGGGGAGAAACGTGAATGGGTCACATAAGCCTTTGCAACCTGACCCCTAAAGCTTGTTTCTTAAGCACAAAATTGTGACAAAAAAACAAGACTATAATTGGAGAGAAAGCTGAATGAGCTATGTGGTCATTATTTTGTTTGTTTTCTTGAGACAGGGTCTCATGGAGCCCAGACTGACCTCAAACTCACCATGTAGCTGAGGATGACACTGCATTTTTCCATCCTCTTGCTTTTTATTCTCTGGGAGAAGCTGGGATAATAGGCTTGTGCTACCACACTCAGCAGAGAGATGTGATATCTATTAAATAAGAATTCGTTTTTCTAGCTGAGCGTGGTAGCACGTGCCTTTAATCCCAGCTCTTGGGAGGCGGAAGCAGGCAGAACTCTGTGAGTTCAAGGCTAGCCTGGTCTACATAGCGAGTTCAAAACGACCAAAAAAACAAAAAAAAGAATTCGTATTTCTAACACGTCAAATAGTTCTTTCCTGGAGCTGGAGATGGCTCAGCAGTGAAAAGTACTTGCTGTTCTTGTAGGGGACCAGGGTTTGGCTCTCGGCATCCACATGGCAGCTAACAAATGTCTGTAACACCAGTTCTGGGGGATCTGACACCCTCTTCTAGTCTCTGCAGGCATTGCATGCACGTGGTGCACATACATGCATGCAGGTAAAATGTTCATATACCTAAAATAAAAATAGTAAGTCTTAAAAAAAATTCAGCTGGGCATGGGTGGTGCACACCTTTAATTCCAGCACTTAAGAGGCAGAGGCAGGCAGACCTCTGTGAGATCAAGACCACCTTGGTCTTCTAGCAAGTTCCAGGCCAACTGGGGCTACAAGGAGACCCTGTCTCAAAAAGATTTTTTAAAAGATTCTTTCCTGACCAGCCTACATACGACAGTAATCCATACCCACCACCCCTTTGCCCTCATGCATTTTTCTTTACAACACTGATAAAGTACTTAAAATTGCACCATACATTTCTTTATAAGTTTATGAGCTGTGTCTTTCATCAGAATGTGAGCTCCAGAAGGAAGAAGAGTCATCTTGTTCATAGTTGCAAGCCCACAGCCCTGAACAGTGTTCCTGGGTATCTGCTGAGTAAACAAACAGCCATAACACCCTGAACATGCCTAATCACATCTGAATACCTGACTATAACCAGTGCCTAAAATTAGGAACTCAGCATAACAAGGTGCAAGCTGGGGGCCTGTGAAGAGCAGGAATTAAGTCCTAAGTGGATTAAAGTGAAGAAATTACATACGTAAATTTAATAAAACACAAATTACACAGGGCCCTTGCATAATTTAAACACTATGGACAATTCTACCTGCTTTTTCATTAAGGAGCACATCTTATATAATTATATCCATGATATATACATATACACACACATACACACATATACATATATATGTGTATACATACGTCAGAAATATGGAACTGTGTTTACAATTTTATAGGTAACTTACAGATCCTTTCAAGAAAGAAAGCTAAGAATCTAATCCTATGCAGCAAAGTGCTCTACTAAGATCTGAGAGCACTGGGGCATGTAAGGCCACATGACTCCACAAACAAGAGAAAAAGGAACATTTCAATGTTCCATTTAGGCAAAAACTTTAGCAAGGTTAAGGTCCTCCAGGGCCTGTGAGGCCTGTAGATGAACAGAGAAAGGAAGACTCTGCAAGGCACAGACCATGTTTGTAAGCTGAACTCCTAGCAAATAGTGCCTCATCCACAGAACTGTTAATACTAATAATAAATAAATAATAGGCTTGGTATGTCCAGGGGGTGTAGAGCAGAGGTAGAAGGCAAGTATAGCAGACACAAGGTCTTGGGTTCAATCCCTAACACAAATAAATAGTATAAGCTTGGTGCAAAACTCTACTGAGGTTAGTTTAGGGCCCTTCTGAGTACAAGGGAAAGCAGTAGACACCCTGGAAAGGGACACAGGCATGGAGGAAAGAGTAAGAAGTGTTCCTCATGGGTACAAGGTAACACAGGACAAGCATATTTAAAACTCATGCTAAAGGGGCTGGATAGATGGCTCAGTAGTTAAGAGCACCAGCAGGTACACTGGCAGAGGATCCAGGTTCAACTCCCAGCACCCACACAGCAGCTAACCACTGTCAGTAACTCCAGTTCAAGGGGATCCGACATCTTATTTGGCCTCCTAAGGTACTGCATACACATGGTGTACTTACATACATGCAGGAAAAAGTCATACACATAAAAGATTTTTAAAACTTTTAAAAACTCATGCTAAAAATTATTAATAGTTTCCTAAAAGATTTAGGGAATTTTATGGGATGGTATTTTAACCTCTCTTATAAACATTGTTTACTTCTCTTTTGTTTTCAAGATAGGATCTAAGTAGTCTTAGCTATAACTTACCAGGCTGACCTTGAATTTGCAGTGATCTTCCTGCCTCTGCTTCCCAAGTGCTGATATTACAAGGGTGTAACAACACTGAATGTTTAAAGCATGAATTACCTGTTTTACATTTTTTAAATTTTTTATTTATTATTTTTATTTTACATGTATTGCATGCATGTAAGTAAGTGCACGCATGTCGTGCAATGCCCGTGGAGGTCAGAAGAGGCTGTTGGATCCCCTGGGACTGGAGTTATGGACAGTTGTTAGTTGCCATGTGGGTGCTGGGATTCGAGCCCGGGTCTTCTGCAAGAACAACCAGTGTTCTTAACCGCTGAGCCATCTCTAAATTTTTAATCCATGAAAGTCACTGAGATTTTTCTACAATGTTCACTAGAAGAGCATTTGAAAGATTCTAGAGCCTGAAGCCCAGTAGGGATAGGACAACTGGATTGTGCAGAGAGGAAGTCTTTCTAACAAACTAGGAATAAATAAATTGCATTTGTGTCTCTTCTCTGCTTCCTCTTGAAGCCGTTTATATCATCAAGCCAACATTTTCTTAGGTGTTTGAAAACACTCATTTCTACTTATTATTACAAAAAAGATGGACAAGCCGGGTGTGGTGGCGCACGCCTTTGATCCCTGCACTTGGGAGGCAGAGGCAGGCAGGGATCTTTTTGAGTTTGAAGCCAGCCTGGTTTACACAGCGTGTTCCAGGCCAGCTGTGGCTACAGGGAGACCCTGTCTCAAAAAGACCAAAAATAAAAAAGATATACAATAATATTCCTCATAGAATTTTAGAATATTAGACTATAAATACACAAAATACACAATCATCAACCCAAATTAGTATGTGTGCTTTAACGCAATTTCTTGACATTTAATTATATACTAGCAGTCCTTTAAACTTAGTAGTAGCACTATGCAAACACAGAGGACAAATCTACTTAACCCCAACTTCAGAGTTTCAAAGAAGCATAAATTGTTTTAAAAACTAAGGAATTAGTCCAGACTTGAAAGCACGCACCCTTTAAACTTTTACTTACTGAGAAAGAGACTGAAGCTCAACAAGACCCAAGCTCAACTTTAACAAATACGACACACTCAGATTTCTTACACAAAGTCAGTAAGGAGGAAAACTGGAGCAGTCCCAAAGCAGACTTATGCAGTGAGGAGACAGCCTGACTCCAGTCAGAGACGAATGTGCAAGAGTGCCAATGGAAGTACTTTACATGACTTCAATCACCAGGGAAATTTAAAAAGGTGAAAGCAACTTCTCAGTAACAACCCAACCACACTTTCAAAACAGCTTGGAATTCAACAAAGAAAAGGCCAAAAATACAAGAGAATTGGAAAAGGGCACACCAGTTAACACAAAGCTACAGTGTTCACAATGACAGAGATGGAGATACATTTATAGGGCGCTTCCATAGCAAACACACATGCTGTTACCTAAGATGGAGTTTTTCTAGCCCAGCATCTGCAAGGTCATCATTGGCCCTTTGATGAATGTCCCTCTGTGTTTCTATTTTGTGATCATCAGACAAACCATCAACTTTGTGAATAAAAACCTCAAAATTCATGTCTGGGTTAACTTTGTAGGCTTTAGAAACAGTAATGTGAAGTCTTGTTAAAGCCTCCATGTAGTCATCCTGAAAGTCAGAACAAAATATTTTTTTAAAAAGAAATATTACAAAAGGAAAGCAACAAGTTAAGAAAGTCTCAGACCACCTTTTCCCCAACCACAGAAGATAGGTTATCCTAATTATTCATATTCACGTGTACTAACAAGTAACTAATAGTTCTTCAAATTCTTAAGATAAAAATTCAAATACCAAATTCATGCCTGCATTTTTAATACTGTTCATATTAAGAAAGGAAAGGCAAAATGGACATTTCTTCCTAATTGAATGCTTACAGTAATCCCAGCTCTGCCATTTACCAGGTGTGTGGCTTTAAGCAAGTTGCTTAAACTCTGTGATCTCAGTTCATTTCTCTGTAGAACCGGAATACCTACCCTCACAATACTGTGATGATCTAATTAGATCATGTGTAAGTAAGCACCCATTATAGAGCATGTATCACTCAGCATTCCTAACTAATATTCCAGCTCACAAAAAGTAAGCTGAAGAGGGACACAACCCATTTATCTTACTGCCTGCCATGACATTGTAGGCCCTCAATAAATCTTGCTAAACTCAACTTGGACAACTGAGGAAAGCTATTCACTAAAAAGCACAATGAGTTATTTCTTATATTCTTCCTTATATTGTGGCTACTGATGGGATCTTTTCAATGAGTGATGTCCCCATTGTAATTGCTAATGAAATACAAAGATATCTATTATTAAACAATAAGAGAGGAAAGCCAGTGTTAACTGCTCATTAAGTGGGACTCAAGGAGTATAAACTACATCTCCTAGCACCAGATAGTCTGAAAATGTTCAATGACAAGCCTGCTCCCCCAAAATCCTCTGCAGCTGCATCTCTTACACTGTCAGGAGATCTATGGCAAAGAAGCAGCTTCAAGCACATGACAAAGGAGACAATTTTCCTTTGTTTCTACACCTTTCTGCCACCAGGAAGAGAAGTCCATATTATTCCTAGCTACCTGTGCATCAATGACATATATCAATGCTCCTGTTCCCCTGAAGATCATCTCGTAGTCAAAAGTTGGGTCAAAAAAGTCCATTTGCCCAGGAAAATCCCAAATCTGGAAATTCACAAAGGAGCTATTGGAAATGTCGTCTTTATAAATCTTGTTGGTACTTTCCAAAAAGAGAGTCTCGTTTGGGGACATCTTATGAAACACCACCTGGTAAGAGAAACAAAGACAACTTTATAACTATTTAACTGCAGAATTTTCTTTCAAAATTCCATTATACTAACATTAAAGTTTTGATCTTGATGGTAAAAACTGGATACGAAATTCATTGGTACTCTCCTATCTCTGGCAAAAGACACCAAGTTAGTTTCCATTCATTCTATTAGGAAGAGAACTGCTATTTTAACTGCAGTTCTAGTAGCAGTAGCAGCACTCTCTCACCCACATTGTTCTCATGTGTTTGTTATTTTTTGGTTTATAGATTTTGATTTTCTGAGAAAAGGTCTTGTTAATGTAGCTTAGGCTAGCCTTAAGCTGTCAATCCTCTAGCCTCTGCTTCCCCAGTTCTAGAATTACAGAATGTACCAACTTGCCAAACCCTACTGTTTTGTGGAGATTTAAACTTGCCAAACCCTGCTTCAAGATTACAAAAGCTTTATAGTTCAAATTTAAGAAGTTTTGTTCTGCCGGGCATGGAAGCACACACCTTTAATCTTAGCATTCAGGAAGATCTCTGTGAGATAGAGGCCATCCTGGTCTACACAGAGCTCCAGGTCAACTGGGGTTTGTCTCAAAAACAAAACAAAACAGAACAAAAATTTTTGTTCATTCAAAAATTACACAAATGTCTACTGCAGGCTCTGGAGAACAATAAAAAAGCAAACTGTATCCTGCTCTCACCGAGTTTGTGACCTGAGCAGAAAGTGAAAATGTTCGGCAGGAAAAGGCAGAAGGCCTGTGGGATTTCCAAGGAGCCAACTCTGGGGGCAATGGTAAAGGCAATTAGGCATGAAAAAATGCACAGCAGCCGAGTTAACAGAGTGCTTACCTATCATGCAGAAAGCACTGGGTTCCATCCCTAGCACCAAGTAAAACCTAGTGAAGTTTTACAGGCACACCCCTGTAATCTCAGCACTCTAGGTAAAGAGGTAGGAGGATCATAAGTTCAAGGTCAGCTTTAGCTACATAGTGAGTTCTAAGCCAGCTTGGCCTATGGGAGACCCTGTCTCAAAAAAAAAAAAAAAAAAAAAAAATCAAAAACAGCAAGACTAGAGGTGTAGCTTGAAGGCTCACCTAGCCCTAGGCTGCACCAATGAGACCACAAGCCATACAACCCTAACATCCTAACAAACTTCAAATGTGCTTCTCAGTGTTAACTTGGGAGAAAAGAAGTCACTTCCAGGTTGTCATTAACAAGTGACAACTACATTTGTATTGCTAAAGTCACTATAAATGTACCCAAATTCATGGCTGGGGACATAGCTCAGTGATAATGTGCTGTCCCTACCACAGACAAGGCCCTGCGTTAGAGCCTAAGCACTGCCCTCATGTCCACCCCCCCAAAGGCCCAACTCTTGCTGCAGAGGTGAAAAGGTAAATAAACCAGCAGTCCAGCAAATTCGGAAGTTTTTTTTTTAAAAAAAAAACATCGAATCTACAAAATATCACTGATATCTTCTGAATAGACTTTTGTGTCAGGTGGAGAGGGGGAAATCACCAGGTGTCTGTGATACAAGGTTTATGAGAACTTCGCTCGGTGTGTAATGCGGATGGTTGATGGAAGAAGTCAACCCTGCCACTACATCCCGGGTTACTAAAAATAAAAAGCTTAAGGCACTCTATTCACTCTTGGCAGACCGGAGGTGAAAACAGACTAACGTCTGCCTGCCTGCCTGCCTGCCTGCAAAATATTCTTACTCTCCAGAGATTTTGTATCCACACAACTTCAGAGCAGGAATCAGAGCAGGACTAGCACCTGTAATTACACTCACCAGGCCACAAGAGCTGAACAAAGTGGGTGCAGTAATGGGAAATAAAAGTTACAGAAGTCTCCACCAGGCTGGTAACAAAAGTATCAAGATGCCCGGTGTCTTAGTCACAACTGATGCTGCTGCTCCCCGGGACTCAGCTGAGGGATCCCTGCAAACTCCTGTCACCTGAAGCGCGATCCGGCAGGAGAGCGCGTCCACCTAACTCCACGTGAGAGCTGGAGAGAACGCGCGAGTTTCGCACTGCCACTGGGGCTGCGTCCCAGGGGGCGGAGGGCTAGGGCGGCACCCCGGCTCCGGCCCCCGTCCCCGGCGTGCCCACTTGGCCCTGGGCCTCCACGCCCAAGTTCGGGGACTCCGGGAGGGCCGGGCACCCGCGGGCGTGGACCAGAAAGGGCGCGGGGACCAGGAGGCCGCCGCCCTCGCGCGGGCCTCCCCGGCCGCCACCGGAGCCCGGCGGGCCGAGCCTGCGCAGGAGGCCCGGCACGGCCGGCTCACCTTCTGGATGGAGGACTTGCCGCTACGCCGCAGCCCCATGAGCAGAATCCTTGGCTTGGAGCTGTCAGCGCCCCCCGGGCCGCAGCCACCGCCGGCCCCCGCGCCGCCGCCGCCCGCCGCCGCCGCCTCCTCTTCCTCCTCCTCCACGCCGTAGCCGAAGTCCTTGGGGAACGCGTCGGCCGCGCCGTAACTGCCAGCCAGGGGCGTCTCCTCCGCCCCGTACTGTAGGGACATGGTGCTGGACCGCCGCCGCCCGCACCCTGACAGGCCAGGCCAGGCCAGGCCGCCGCCTCCCTAGGCCGCCACCGCCACCGCCCCCGGCAGCCGCCGCCGTCAGGCCCACCCCCCCTAGCCCCGCTCGGATTGGCTCCAAGCCTGAGCCCGGCTCCTCATTGGCCACCCGCGCCGCCACTCCGGAGCAGCAGGGTAGGTGGTGGCCGTCACGTGCTCGGAATCATCTGACTCGCCAGGGCCGTGGGGGGGGCGGGGGACGGGAGGAGGAGTCACGTGGAGAGCAACCGGGCCGCGCCTCTCGCTAGGCTCCCGGGCCTGGCCCCGGGGCACAGCCCGCTTGCATCGCCGCCTTACCCTGCGCGCACCGCGTTCCGCACCGCGCCCCCGCCTTCTTCCGGGCTCCGTGAGCACCGGTGGAGAGATGATGCTCGGGACATCTGGCCTGAGACCTCATTGTCCTCCTCCTCCGGTTGTACTCGCCCAGCCAGTATTTACTGGTGCCTGCGATGTCCTGGAAACCCGGGAAGGGACTGGAAACTGAAACCGACTCGGACTCACCATGCCTCGATTTGGTGAAGGTTAACAGAGATTGGACCTTCGCGTAAGTAGAAGTTGGTAGAGTTGATGTGGAAGGCCTTGAGCACAGATGAAACGTTCCAGAATTGGTCGAAGAAGTCCGCAGGAGGTGGTAATGTGAGAGCCAGTCTAGAAGGATGGATGCAGTTGGGATGTGCAGGAGTAAAGGAGGGGCCAGGAAGAGGACAAAGGCAGTCGTGGATCGCCGTGATAACTTGTTATAGCAGATAGCTGGACCCTGACTGGAAAGTAAAAGCTACCAAGCTAGATCATCTTATGTTTCTTCAGCAGATCAGGTAGGACACTGCCGTTTCATCCCACCTAACTCAGTTTTCCCTTGTTCCCACTTAAAGCCTCCTTCTCCATCCACCAATGAATAGAACACTTGTCTTCTGTGACTTCAGATTAGAAACCAAAGGAATTATGAATAATGAAACCAAATGCTTGCTACTAGACTGTTTGAGAAAGCTGTAAAGGAGTTTTCACGGTTCAGACTCGAGTTAGATATTGTTAAGGTTCAGATAGCCCTGCCCCCTCACCAGCAGGATTCCAAGGACTTCTCATGCTCCTGAGAAAAGGGAACCTAGCTGATAAGCACCTTGGTCTTTGAAGTCAAGAGAAGCAGACTTTTCTCCACTGTTTGGCCAACACAGCAGGCTTCCCTTTTGATCTCTAAAGTGGATAGGTTTTAACAGTCCTGCTCTCCCACCACCCCCACCCACCCACCTGGATAGGTTTTAACAGTCCTGCTCTCCCGCCCCACCCCCCACCTTAAAAAAAATACATCTTCCCGCCTTCTTCTGGAAGCAGAAGCCTCCCTTTTAAAAAGACCCCAGCTCAAGACCCAGGCAGACATTTTCCCTGCCCGGAAGGGAATCTGCCCCGTGTTCCTTTGCTAATAAACCCTATTTTGATGGAGTTTTAGCTGTGCCTCGGTGCCTCATCATCCATTCGCTCATTCTCCACCTACTTTTTTCCTATCAGATACTAAATTTTTTTCAAAATAAATTCTTTTGGCCAGATGTGGTGCATGCCTTTAGTCCCAGCACCCTGGAGAGGCAGGCGATCTCTGAGTTCAAGGCCAACCTGATGTACATACATAGTAAGTTCCAGGCCAGCTGGGGCCACAGGGTGACCCTGTCTCAAAAAGAGCCCCCCCCCCAATTTTTTTAATGTTACGTTTTGCCTGCATGTATGTAAGTGCACCCATACCATGCAAAGCCCTAGGCGGATAGAAGAGGATGTCAAATCCCCTGGAACTGGAGTTACGGATTGTTGTTGGCCACCATGTGGGTACTGGGAAAAGAACCTGGGTTCTCTACAAGAGCAACCAGTGCTCTTAACCACTGAGCCATCTCTCCAACCCCTTATTTTTACTTTTTATACGTTTTGTCTGCATAAAAGTGTACCCATGTCTGCAATGCCCCTAGGACAGAAGAGGGCACCATATCCCCTAGAACGGGAGTTAGGAATGGTTATTAACCACTATGCAGATGCTGGGAACAGAACCCCAGTCCTCTGAAAGACAGTCCAGTGGTCTAGTGCTCTTAAGCTCTGAGCCACTGCTCTAGCCCCCAGAAATGGAAATTTGACAAGACTAAAACTTAAAAGTACAGTCATATATATACATATATATATATATATTAATATTATAATAAACATTTTCTAAGAGGAGGGCTTTGATTTTTTTATAAGGACTGTACTTAAAAGTACAGTCATGGCCCAGCGTGGTAGCACACACCTTTAATCCCAGCACTTGGGAGGCAGAGGTAGGCGGATCTCTGAGTTCAAGGCCAGCCTGGTCTCCATTTAAATAATCTCTTCATGCTCCCTAGGTTACCAATGTTGGTGTACCTGAATCAACCACGTGAGGGCAAGTAACGTGTGTGTGTGTGTGTGTGTGTGTGTGTGTGTATAATATATATTTAAATATTCTATTTTTTAAGGGGAGGTCTTGATTTTATAAGGTAACTGATTTGTTTTGTTTGCAATACTGTTGGATGGAACCCAGGGCCTTGCTGCATGCTAGGAAAACTACCACTGAGCTACATCCTCAACCCAGAGATTGACTTGATTACTCATCTAGGTTTAGGACTTTGGTTATGCCTCAGCCCAGAAGGCAGGACATAGCCTTAGTGATCATTCCAACCTCTCAAATGAAAAGAATCAACTCTACAGTGTCAGTTAGACCTGCAGAATGCACTTACACACAGGTATCCTTCCATATCCATGGGAGACTACCTATGGGACACTCTCCAGTCTCATGAACAGATTAGCAGCAGTCAAGTTCCTTATATAAAATGGGCTACTATTTGCATATATGTACCTATGAACATCTTCCCATATACTTTCTATCATCTCTGCATTAATTACAATACCCAGTACTCTAAATCTCAGCACCAGGGAAACAGATGCAAGAGAACTCCACAAATTCAAAGTAAGCCTGCTCTAACATATCATATTCCAGGCCATCCTGACTTACACATACACAAACACACAAAGGGGAGGGGTGTGGATGCAAATAGCTGTCATACTGTATTGCATAAAGAATAAAGTTTGTACATGTTCAGTACAATTTTTGCCTAAATCTTTTCAATCCAGTTGAGTCCATGGATGTGGAGCCCATGCATACAGAAAACTGACTATACTTCCAAAGGAGCTCAATCTTGAAAGGCACCTATAATAAAGTTTGTGTGTAAGTATGGGCATGAGTACAGGACAACCTTGGGTGTCTGTCCTCTCCTTCCACCTTGATTTCTGGGATTGGATCTTTGTTGTTTTTCACTGCATATGCCAGGCTAGCTAGCCTACAAGTTTCTAAAGACTCTCTTGTCTGCCTCCCATCACTCCATAGGAGCACTGGGATTAGACACATAATACTGTGCCCAGCTTGGTATGGATTCTAGGAAATTGAGTTCAAGTCCTCACACTCATGTGGCAAACACTTTACCCACTAAGCCAAGTCTCTTGTTCTGTTTAAAAGTTAAGGGGTGGGAGAAGTAGCTCAGTTGATGTAGCTCAGTTGGTAGAGTGCTTGCTTGGTGTTTGTGAAACGCTGGGTTGCAGCCCCAGTACTTTATATACCAGGCATGAATGATAGCACATCTGTAATCATTGTAGGGAGGTAGAAGCCAAAGGATCAGAAGTTCAAGGTTATCCTCTGCTATATATTGAGTTTGAGGCCAGCCTGAGCTACATGAGACCGTCTCAATGTTTCAAAATCATTCTCACCACTATTTCATAATGGTCCTTCTACTATTAAAGTCTTTATTATGCACCAAAAGCCTTCTCAGCCTGGTGGTGTCACAGACATGTATTCCCAGCATTTGAGCAGAGGCAGGAGGAATGCTGCAAATTTGATGCCAGCTTGATATAACAGCAAGTTCTAGGCCAAAAAAGGTCTCTTTCCCATTATCCTCAGTTGCTTCAACCATTTCTTCTCTGGTATTGTTCCGTAGGATTGTCCGTGGTGGTAGAAATGTTTTGAAACTACCATTCGGGACAGTACCCGCCAGCTACATGTGCAGAGTACTAGAAATGTTGCCAGATTGACTCCAGAGCAGGGTTAATCGCCATACGTAGCTAGGGACTCCACACTGAATAGCTCAGCCTATTTTGATCCCCTCTCCCTATTCTCCCTTCTTCCTTAAAATGCATTCAAGCTTGTCAAATACTTCAAAGGCCTGGCACCCACAGAGCAGTAACTGACCAATAGCCTTTAGGAAGACTGTTTAGCACCTGGACAGTATTTCTGTTTTCCAGAATGGAGTTTAAGTTTCCTTGCAGTATAAGTGGTTCGCATTATCACCAGCACTACCCGCCCCACTAACCTTGTATTAACAGCATTTTTTTTTTTTTTCTTTCCATCTTTTTGAGACACGGTCTCCATGTAGGTCCCAGCTGGCCTAGAACTCAGATCCATTTGCCTCTGATTAAAGGTGTGTACCACCACACCTGGCAACTGCATTTTTTAACCTAAATATGACTTGATATTTTTAACTTTCTCATTTAGGCCCAGCAGCATAGGTACTCTAGGTTATCATGTTAAACCCTATTCCAAACTAGTCTGCGAAGCAGCCTTTCCAGTTCTGTGGCACTTACAGATCAGGCACTACTGTCTGATCTGTGGGTAGTCCTTTAGTTTGCAAGGTACTTTTATACCCATTATATTCAGTTTGATGCTTTCAATAACCTTATAAGGGAAGACAGTATGTGGGGAGATCTATATATGCCTTTTGGGGGGTGGTCAAACAGGTCTTATGTAACCCAAGCCAGCCTCTATGAAGTCAGATGACCTTGAACTCCTGACATGCATCCACTTCTCAAATGCTAGGTTATAGGCATGAACCACCATGCCTAGATTTTTTTTTTTAATGTGCATGGAGTGCAAGTGTGTACATGTAGTAGGTCTGATGACAACTATGGGGAGTGGGTTCTCTCCTGCCCCCTTCTGGGATTCAAGGACTAAATTTGGGTCCTCAGGTCTGTGTACAAGCATTGCTACCTGCTGAGCCATCTCTACAGTCCAACATTTTTTTTTTATAGATAAGGCAGCTATAAAGCATGGCAGGAACTAAACTGATAGCTTACATTTTCTATCCCATTAAGCATCATCTTGTATGCAGTCTTCATCCAAATCCATGCTAAAAATGTTGAAAAGGCCAGGCCTGGTGGCATGTACCCTTTAATCCCAGCACTTGGGAGGCATATATGGTCTACAAAGCAAGTTCCAAGCCAGCCAGGGCTACATGCACTATGTACAAAAAAGTGGTGTAAGAGACAATCGTTGACTTGATGACATAAATACTAACACTAGTACCATGAGAAAAAAGCAAAGGAGGGGACTGGAGAGATGGCTCAGTGGTTAAGACTAGTTGCTGTTTATACAGAGGACTCGGGGTTAGGTTTCCAGCACCCACAGCTCACAACCATTTGTAACTCCACGTTCAAGGGATCCAGTGCCCTCTTGGCTTCAGCAGGCACCAGGCGTGCATATGGTGCACATACATAACATTCAGGAAAAAATACTAGTACACATGAAATAAAATGAAATTATTAAAAAAAAGACAAGGCTTGGTTGCCAGAAAAAAAAAAAAAAAGTATTTGTCTGTATCCACAAAGGGACTGCCACACCAACTATTTAAGTCATCCTGACTATCATGGAACCCTGTTTTTTATTCTTTTGGCTCTTAGCACATCCTAACCCACCTTGTAGTTGTTTGTATACATGTCTCTCATTGCCTACTTCCAGTCATTCATCTCTATTGCACCCAGCACTTAGCCTACTGCTGTTCATGCAGAAGGTACTCAAATTGGTAAAAGAAATCTGTCCAACTGGATTTCTTCCAGTAGTATCTGGCACTGTCACAAACAAACTTGTGACTAAAAGAGATACAGACCATTGGCAGTGTTGCCACCATGACTGATTACAATGCCCTTGTAAATGACTTGGTCAGAGTTTCCAGCAGGTGCCTGTGTCTCTGCTGGTTGAACCAGCTTTCATTGGATGTATGCTTTGATCAAAACACAAAGACAGGCTCTGTAACAATAAGGATAGAATACATGAAATAGGATTTAAATGTCTGTCACTGAGGAAAGTAAGTGATCAACAGAACACCTGACTAATTCTTTCCAAAGAAAGGAAAACGTACCAGGTATACTGGTGAATGCCTATAACCCCAGCACTCAGGAGATGGAGGCAAGAAGATCAGAAGTTCAGGCCAGCCTGGGCTACCTAAGACCCTCAAGAAAATTAAAAAAAAAAGGACTAACAAAACAAGTACACTTTACATTTACAGATCTTTCATATACATTCTCTCATTTGACCCTCACAACAACCCTGTGAGGTAGGCAGTACTGATGTTCTCAATAGATGAGGAAAGTCAGTCTGACATGCCTAGGGTTCTACAGTTAGCAACAGTTTTGTATAAATGTCTGTCTTTGGCTTAAAACTTCAGCACCTAACCTCCCTCATACTTTCCTACCTACTTCACAGGGATAATGAAGAATGAATGAATTTAAGGCTCAAAATAATACTTTTGAGGGGTAAAAAAAAAAGCACTATATAATTATTTACTATACTCATCTGTGGTATGTGGCTCATTCCCCTTCCCATCCCAGCTTGTGTGTGAACCCAGAATTTTATATTTACCTCTCTTCTGTGCTCAACTAAGGCAGGGTAAGAGTGTGGTCCTGTTTAAAGTTACATAAATTACAGTCAGGGGAGCTACGTCATTAAGCGGACTGAAAGCAGACCCACTAAAGCACACAGCACGGCAGCACATTATCAGATGGGCATGATTGCATAGATGAAAACGTGGTGTCAGAGTTCACACTGGCACACACATAGTTACCTAAGGCAAAGTGTTGGCAAAGAAGAGTTATTTGTTCCACACTACATAAACGAGCAGAGAACTCATGGGAACCCATGCAAAAGCATCTTACATCACATAGATCTCTGCAGCTGTCTACAGGGAATATGACGTTAAGAATGATTGTACCTATTGCACATATATCCTGAAATAACCAAATAGCTCCGTGCAGATATTCCTAGGCTAAAATACAATCAGTACCATAATTCCTAATTGGACAATAAATAATGTCTTGTGAGGTGTTAGGTTCTATGGCTGTTCAGGCTTTCTTCCAAATCTACTTTGGATTCTCCTGTCTTAAGACCCAAAGAAAGTTATGTTGAGTTTTTATTGGTGATTCTAAGTATATGTGTTTATAACAGTTAAAGTGTGGTAAGTGAATTTAACATATTAAAAGTTTTATAGCATCTGTTCAGAAAAGATTATATAGTATACAAACTTTTCAAGTGATACAAAACCATTTTTCAGTGTCTTTTCAACTGAGAAGAATCTTATTCAGCACGCTTCTCCTCCTGAGGTGGTTCATACTGAGCAAGCTATGAGGCAAAGACAGAGGGGTTTAGGTGAATTTTATTTCAAATTGGGTAAAAAACTTAGCAAAACAAAATAAGATTAGATACTATATTCACTTTAATTAGTAATCAATTTGTTATATATCCTTTTTAAACCATTCAGCTAAATTCATAACTAAACTGTTCAGATACTTAATACATAATCATCTCTATCTTTCCAAGAATGCTGTGCCTTAGAATAAGGAACTATCCTCTTCACTAAAAAAGCAGAGGAGAAGGCTATAGAGTTTCTGTTAGTATGGCCATGCAACAAAAGATGTAATTAATGTTGGACTTTAAAAGTACTAGAGAGGCTGGGCATGGTGGTGTACATGTTAGTCCCAGCACTGAGGAAACAGAGGCAGGTGGGTCTCTAAGTTTCAGGTCAGTCGGGGCTACACAGTGAGACCTGTCTAAAAAAAAAAAAACAAGAAAGTACCAGAGTTAACTAGCAATTATACACTGCTACATCTTCAATAATTTTAAGACACTGCATTTTCCTAAGTTGTGAGTCCTTGCAAGAATACTAGACTAAGATTTGAGGTCTTCCAATTAGCTGTGAGGCTTGAAAATTGCATTATGTGATTCAAAATGTGGTAGACCTCAGACTTAAGAATTGACTCTGAAGTTTATGGGAATTGAGAAAAAAACCTAATTAGAAATTGAGTGCCGTTTACTTATGCCAGTTTGTGAACTCAGGGCTAGCACCCTGGATGACTGCACCCTGCACTGCACCATTCTTGGAGGTGCCCTGGCTGGACTGCCCTCAACTGCTTAAGAATCTTAAGACTACCCACGTACTAGCATGAACCAAGATTGCACTTTTTTGTTGATGTAGGTTGGCAAGACTTTTCTTGACCATACTTTGCTTATCCTGTTTATGGTTTGCCTTGTGATTTTCTAGATGGGTATAGGTTTGCCTTGCATTGGACTCAAACTGATCCTTCCTCTGCTGCCCATTTTAGTAAGGTCTGGGTTTTTATCTGTTTAGTTTGGTGTTGTGCTGGGGACTGAAGCCAGGGCATTTGTGCATGCTAGGTAAATGCTCTACTACTGAGTTACATTCCTGGCCCTTTAGTAAGGATTCCATCAGAAAACTATTAAAGGCAAAATTAGTTTTAATATGACCATGAATTCCTTTTTAAAAATTTACCTTTGCTTTCAGTTTTTTATTTTCTTCTACAGTAGCTTCATATTTCTCTTTCATTTCTGCCAATTCTAGGCGAAGTAGCTCTATTTCCGGGTTTTCTGGGGTAGCAGCTCCTAAGTGATGCTTTAAAAAACTAACATCGATGTTAAGAATTTACTTCTTAGAGTTGAGTGAGGAGAGAGTTCAACGCAGCTGCCAGTCACCCACCACACCACCAGCATTTATCCCGAGATCATGTGAATACTCAAACTCAAAACAACTTTTTCAATAAGCAAAAGTATTTTAAAAGTTACTATTTTAAAAAAAAAATTAGAACTTCAAAACTACAGCCTTTTTAAATTTGGAAGATGAAAAGGATACTCCAGAGCACTAGTAGGCTTCTCTGGTTCTTCGTATAAGGCTACCAACACTGTAATCAAAGAGAAAAAAGTAATGAAGTCTTTAAGTATGAATGGCTGAAATATTCAGTAACTCAGTAGTATCTGCCTGCTCTGTCAACCACATTGCTCAGACTGTCTAGACAGTATCCCTGCTTGCAACAAATTTATAGTCCATTGCAAAATACAAGGAACTCAGAAAGTATCAAACAGCAGTACTGGTTAGTGAGTTCTAGAAACAGACTGAAAAACACTTAGCATCAGAGGCAAGACCCGAGACCTAGCTGTGAGTGTTTCACATAGTAATGGCAAAGCCTAGGGTGGAAAAGAATCACTTAGGAAACTAACATTTTAAGAATGACTAGAAGTTGCAGGTAGTGCCTGGAAGGGTGGCCAGGGGCCAGACTATGGAAGACCTAGAAAGCTGTATTGAACTTTGATCCTAAAGACTACAAATATACTTAAACAGTTTGAAAACAAGAGAGGACATGACTTGACTGTCATGCACATGACTGAACTGTGACGGCTAATGGCAGTAAGACCCATTAAGAAAAATGGGTGTGGTGGCCTACAATCTCAGCACCTGAGAGGTCAGGCAGGTCATCCTAAAATAGTGAATTGGAGACCAGGACTACAAGAGACCCTATCTCAAAAAACAGAAAAGTCTGATGTTGAAGTCAAGTTAAAGAAGTTTTGGGCATACTGGGCAGGGTGGTGCAGGCCTTTAATCCCAGCACTAGTGTTAGAGACAGGCAGATCTCTGGATTCAAGGCTAGCCAGTCTCCATAGCAAATCCAGGTCAGCTGGGGCTACAGGGAAACCCTGTCTCAAAAAGATCAAAAACAGAGTAGTTTTAGGTAATAAAAATTTTCAATTCAGAATGTTCAAGAATAAAGTTTCATATAGAATAGGCTAGCCACTAACCAAAAATTTGACCAGTAACCAACATGCTGAAATTGACTTTTGTTTGCTTTGGGGGGGGGGTTGAGGGGGGGTAGGGGGGCATCAAAAAGATAGATTAGTTTTAGGTAATAAAAATTTTCAATTCAGAATGTTCAAGAATAAAGTTTCATATAGAATAGGCTAGCCACTAACCAAAAATTTGACCAGTAACCAACATGCTGAAATTGACTTTTGACTTTTGTT